CCCACGGCTGACTGGGACATAAAACTCGTATATACCAATCCGTAAAAAATCAGTAATTGCAAATTTCCAATACCAAATTAGCGATGAAGTCGAAAATTTATGCCACCACGAAATTATTATAATAAAATTCTATTCGAATAGCTAATGGCGTTTTTTTTTCTATTCTAAAGGTATATTACTTTAAAAAAAAACATTTAATTAGAACCACTGGACTTCCTTATTACCATTTGGGAATGTTTGTAATAAATATTGATTAAATTTATAACCAATTGCCAAATAACCAAATGTCATGCATATTCAGTGAGAAAAGAAACCAGTTTTGTAAGTTCAAATGATTTTTTTAACAATTCCAAACGTTTTAACGATAATAATAATTTGGAATATAGTTATTTTACAACTTCGATATCCATAAAAAGATATTCCGATATGTGGGAATAAAATGAAGATAAATCGGTTTTTAGCAGTGTCGTGACGTAAAATTATTGGTTGGTGTTTAAATTGAGTCAATCCAGTTTTACTGTAAACGACAAATGACCGAAGAATAGTTGCTACGCGTCTATGATAAAGTATTTTATAGGTTTATAATAATTAAGTGTATTTATTTAGATTAATAATCTTTAGTATTAAAAGAAATAAAAATTCACAGGCAAAAGTTACACGGGGTTGCCTACAAAGAATAATAAATACTATTTCCAATGCTGTGATCAATTCTGGCTCAGCTTCAAAGCGATTTCAAAAACATAGTGAACACCTGGTGCGAAAAAAAAATTATTGTCCTTTAACGCAAAAAAAAAACAACAGTGTATTTACAGGACTAAGGGGTCTATTCTGTAAAAATTCCTTTATATTTAACGGCCTTTAAAAATATTGGCGGCCTTTAAAAATATGTTCGTATTCGTTAATTTACTTCTGTCATTATTTAAACAGATTTCTTTAAGATAGTCCTCTAATGTATTTTAAAGATCCGTTTAAATAATGACAGAAGTAAAGAAGAAAATATTAGGCCGTTAAGTCAACTAGGACTAAACAACATATCTGAAAAAGTTGACCCTTGGAGAAGGACAAACAATGTCCAAATTTCTTTCAGATCTAATCTATTCTAACCCTGAAATGAAAAAAAAAAGAACTTGGTGATTCTTTAAAAAAAATACCATAATACCATAAAATAATGAACAGATGGCACATTTTTTAAAGCATTTGCATTTTTTATGTTGTTTAATTATTATGTACGCCAATGGTATGTGTCGTTTGTCGCATTGAGTACAAAAACAATCAACATAAATTATTTTTTTTTTTGGCACCAGTTGTGGCCTCTTTCACACTAATTAGAATAATTAGAAAATCGCTATTCTAATAATTAGAAACAGGTTTATTTATTATTTATAATATTTGTATGTGTCCTATAGAATAATAATGCAGATTTCATTTTTATGGGCGTTTAAATTTCATTTCTGACGACACCGCATCTTAATATCTTCTTTTTATATAAAACTTACGTCGGTTTGACTGGTAAAAACATTGAAATAATTTATTCAACACATATTTAAATTAACAAATAACTTTATTATTAGATATTAGTATTCAAGTGACGTTTTTAACATTTGACATACGAAGTACAATATTTATTATTTGATATAACTTTTTTCGTTTGCCAATAATTCAAGTCCAATAATTTCCGTCAAACGTGAAGAACCTGCAAAAGTTCTATTAAAAATCTTTTTAATTCCAGCAGTGTGAATGACCCTGTAAGTAACGAGACAATTCGCAATTTAAATTAATTTTCACGCGCCTGTCATTTGTCACCTATAAATAGTTGAATATAAAATTAAATAAAAATATTTTGTATTTAAATTCTAATATTATGTTAGTATTGTCCAATGTTTTGCTGCATACTATATTTTTTGTTCTCATTTTATGACACTTTTATACAGGGTGTCCCAAAAAGTAGACTAATCTGTCAAGCATAGATTCCTTAGATCAGTCGAAGAAACCTTTATTATTTTTTTCGATTGGGGCCATCTTGTTCCATGCACAGGGTGACAAAGTTAATTTTTACTAATACGTTCTTTTATTAAGTTGATGGCTTAAAATTGGTACATCCAGATTTTTTGGGATGACAAATCATAATTTGAGCGGCGTTAGTTGCCAAATCACCCTGTGTATTGAACATATTGGCCCCAATCGAAAAACTAATAAGGAATTAATGGTGAACGGATTGGCCTACTTTTTTTGAGACATCCTGTATATATGTAAGTAATCCTTTGTGAATAATTTATTTCCTTCTTTCAACAAATTTATCTGTGTTATAGGCCTGATAATATCCAGGATGGCCGAAACTAGTGTTTTCATCTTTCTTCACTAAAAGTAATGATAACAAATATGCTTATGTCTCAAAAAGCTAAAATATATCCTAATCCTGATAATACTGTATTTAGTAGTTATGACCAAGATATTCAGTAAATTTCCACATAGAAATTAAAAAACGATAATTTATCTTTAAAAAAATAATAAATAAAGATATTACGAAACAGCCACCAGGTAGTTGTCGGTTGGCATCTGAAAATCTTAATTTTAATACCCAATTTCGATTGAAATCGAAATCGACGCGAACTACCGCCCATGCGCCTCCGAAAGTCCATACAATAAATACTAAATCAACGCAACGAATGTACGAGGGTCGTGCGATAAATAATCAGCACGTGGCTTATAAATATCAAGTTTAAGGGCGCAACAATTGCGCCAATAATATAATCGACCATACTTTGATTGTTTAGACAGATATTCCGAAAATCAACAATCGAATGAATCGATTATTTATAATGTAAACTGCATAAATAAACAACCACAATTAATTATTTGAATTTTTAAATAATTTTCATCTTCTGACCATTCCCAGTAAACCGCAAATAGTCGGCATTCGCTCGGCCTGACACCGGCATGTACGGGAAGACGAGTACTCGGATTGCTGTTGTCGGGATTTCTTCTGAGCAGGGAGGACCGTACCATTTGACGTAATTTAGACGTAAACACCGCATATGGTCCATTTGGTTTTCCACACACGGGCCGAACACGGTGAATATTTGGTTAGCCGGACATGAGAAGTATCCTTACGGACCGAATTGCCGAAGCTGCACCCCTATAACGGTACCGATTACTGTGTTTATTGGGTTGGTATAGAAAAGTTACCAACTTGAAATGAAGAATTGATTAAAAATAATTTAAAGCTTTTATTGATAATGTTAAATTATGGTTAGTTAACCAAGGTACTTGAAAAATCGCTACTGAATATTTTCCAAAGATCCCTTATGATTGTCGTCATTAATTAAATATACTAAATGATAGTGGTCCAAATTGGAGTTCTGTGAAACTCCAGATGTTGCTGTGAGGAGTGAGGCTATAAAGCCGTTATAAAAGAGATAATTAAAACGACTGATTAAATCTTATGCTTTTCATCTTTCTTATAAGAATATTATGATACATTCGATAGAAAGCTTTTGAAAAGTCTGTATCTATTACATAAACCTGACAATTATGGTCAAAAAAACTTTACCTCTATCACAATTTTAATATTTTTTTACAATTCACGAGACGATAATTTCTAAATAAATAAATTTAGTTCAATTCCGATATTATTAAATTATCGAAAGCGCCCGGTATGCGGGAATTCTACTAAGTGTTTAATATTCAAATTTCATTCATGAAAACGCTCACCCGCTGTGATTGTGGAACACGCACACGTGTATTCTACGTAGTCGTAATGGTAACCCGTAATCTTACGCAACGGCTGCGTAATTACAATTTACTTTTTTATCGTCCAGGTACACGGAACCCTAAACGTATCGAGCACCATCTATCGACCATACAAAGAGATATAAAAGTTCTAATACTGAAAACGAAAGAAGTTGTGTGATAAAAAATGGATCGCTACTAAGGTATCTACTCCAATAATATACATATGGTCTTCTGGTATTTTTACTCTTGTTGTGTTTTAGTTTTTGGTCTACTTCTTATTCTACATGTTCTACTTTTTGTTCCGCAACTTGTTCTATTACTTGTTCTACTAATTTTTCTACTACTTGTTCTACTACTTATTCTATTACTTGTTCTACTACTTGTTATACTACTTGTTATACTACTTGTTCTACTACTTGTTCTTCTACTTGTTCTACTACTTGTTCTTCTACTTGTTCTACTACTTGTTCTACTACTTGTTCTACTACTTGTTCTACTACTTGTTCTACTACTTGTTCTAATTATTGTTCTGCTTTTTTACTTTTTGTTCTACTTCTTGTTATACTTTTTATTATACTTCCTATTCTATTTTCTATTCTACTTATTATATAATTCTTCTTCTCCTTCCAATACATGGATGGATTTTAAGTCGAAGGTCCATATTTATAAATAGAACTCATCTGAGTCTGACTAATTTATCTAACTTAAAAATCCGTATTAATAAATAATGTATTGGTGTCTTTTTCTAATGTTTTTATTAAACATTGATTAGAAATTCCAAGAACTTTAACCACCCAACTAAATATTCCAGTTCTGATCGTGTCAGGTTAATTTTTTTCATGCCATAAAAAAAACTAAGGTTCCTGTTAATTTTGTCACGAAGTTAGTCATTTTTAAAAACCAATTGTACCTTTTTTATAAGTTTGTAGAACTGGCAAATGTCATTTATGTTCGTAGTACTGCAATCTCAACACCTAGGCAACGTTGCTACTTCTTACCGCAGTAAATTTGATGGATCAACTAATTTTGTTATAAGATTCTAGATTTTTTAAGAAAAAATCATTGCAAAAGAACATAGTCACGAAGCAAAGTGTTTAAATAAGTCTATACACTTTTTTATACATAATTTACGTAAAACATTGGTTAACATATCTATATGAAAAAAAAGTAGTTGTTCGCTATTGATCTACAATAAAATTAAGTGGTACTTGAATTTTACATTATATAGTTTATTACAAAAATGACTAACGCTTATTAAATTTTTCCAGACATCCTCTTCATTGCCTTGGGCGACGGACAGGCCGGATGCTCGAAACGCAGACGATATTTCTTCGCCACCAATAAAGAGGGCGCGCAGTTCGGATCGAATGGGTACCTACACACCTGACAGGGGGCGCAGCCCTACGAGAGCACCCACCGGCAACGGAGGCCACGATGCAGAGCCTGGAACGCTACTGGGACAAGCATTAGAGGGGGGAGTTGGTACACCAATGATTAAAAATGTAAGTAAAATTGATACTATTTTAGCCTATGTATTCTTATTTCGTAGACGGACTCCTAGTTATTAAATCGTCCTATGACTTATGAAGTTGTTTATTTGTGTTCAGCAAAAGGTTTATTGATCAATATCATTAAATCCATGCCACTGAATATAGAAATGAAATGTTTAGTTCACAAGAGTACACATTAAACACTGTTCAATGTCACTGAGTCTTGTGAATCAACCAAAATAGTGAGTCGCTTTAGTTTTCTTAAATTGCAATATTATTCAACTTGTCTTCACATTAAACAAGAGAACCTTTCTTAATGCACAAAACGATCACACACGTACCAATGTGTCTTTAACAGACCCAAGAAGTGGAAATATTAAGAAAAATTGTCCACATTCTTGTCTGGTTTGCAAGTGGGTCCAAAAGAGATGATGGTACTTGATCCAGCAGGTGTTGCATGCTTTCAAGAACCAAATTATGACAACTTTGAGACGTTACTTTTGTTTTATCTAATTTTTCTAAGCTCTACTGTCAAGAGCTTCTGTTTACATTTCTCTAACGTTTCTATTTTTGGTTTCGCCTTATTTCTTCCTACTTTCATTCACCTTTTTTAACTGGAGGGTTTACAATTACTTTATATCATTGTATTGTATTGCATCGTAATGCAGACGAATGTTTTGTTGCAGAAAATGAATTCCGATTCATCAATACAAGCCCAATCAGCGGGCGAAGACAGCAATAGCAGCGATACAGCGATGAGCGATCATGGCGATGAACCTGCCACCTTAAAGACTGAACCATCCGACTACCCATTGCTCGACGATCATCACCCATTTAGTACTAACGGCGGCATCATGGATCCAACGAGAAATCCCGGAGGTTTTCACAATGCGCTTTTGGGACTTCAAGGTAAGAAGAATCTTTCTTTTAGTAAAATCGTTTTTCCTACGACCATATACGAAAATGATAGTTTGCACACTTATTTGTTCTTAAAAAAGTAGCTTATATCACACGCGTACTGAAATATATATCACACACGCATTGAAAAATAGCAAAAGACACATGTGTTGATATTCTTTTCAACACATGTGTAATATACTTTTCAATACATGTGTGATATGGTTTAATTGACTTTTTCATTAAAAAAAAAAACGTTTTTTTAAGGATTTTGTGTGTGGTCGTAGGAAAAATAGTGTACACAACTCTTTGGAAAGTGTATTTCTCGCACTAGGTTAGTTTCCGCACTCGCCGCTACGCGGCTCGTGCTAAACTTCAACTCGTGCGGAATGTTGCACTTTCCACACTTGTAATGTAATATATTATTTTGTCTTTATTTACAGTTTGGTTGCGTATTGTACGATGTATTTCCAGTTTCAATTTCCTCTCTTCGCGGTCCTGGATTCCCCGCTATCGAACTCTATTGTTTTTAACCACTTTCACAGAAATGTGACATAAAACTACCAGAATTTATAAGTTGCATTCATCTGGAACAGATAATGAAAGCCATTAAAGAATTATCTTTAGCTCTCTTGGGTCTATTATATTCCTCTGCTTTTCCTGTTTATTTTGTGACTCCAACTTACATTTTTTACATGATTTCCATTCTCCTGCCATTGTTTTTTATTTTATTGTTTAGCAATCTCTTCTTATCAATATATTTATCTACTTCTTTCTAGTTTTACCTCCTTTTTTACAATATTGTTCTAGAAATAATTAAATATTTTTCTTTTTATGAATGTAAGCCCACCCTATACCTATATTGTCAAGCTTAAATTACTAAAATGTTGTAATTACCCATTTTCCCTGGAGTTTTTTTTTATTATTCCGATTTTATCCAAGAATTTATAGCATTAAATAATAAAAATATAATAATAAAGCTGTTTTCGTGACAAAATCAAGTTATATTTGCTAAAATTAGCTTCATAAGTCTTGAAAATCAAATTTATTGTACCGTTTACGTGTTTTTTTAACAAAAATAACATAAAAGCTCTTGAAAGGAACAGGAGAAAATATATTGTTTGTATAATTTTTACGAGGTTGACAAATTTAGTTACGGGGAAAAATTATTAAACTATTTTTGTTTTGCAGGATTGGGAGGACTAATGCCAGGACCTTCCGGAATGCATAATAGTCCTGACAGTTTCGGTAAGTTTATATTCCACTGTTTTTCTCCTTTATATGAAGCCTAAAGATTACGGTACGAGAAATTGATATTTAAAGTATATTTTTTATTCTTTTTAAGATCTTTACTCAAATAACAAAATGCATGCATATAAACCATTTCTTTTGATCATTACCTACATGCAATGTCAAGCGTTACATAACAAAAAAATAGGGGCCCTGGTCCGTTCTTTTTATTTTGTGAGTTAGAAAAGGACGGAGGTAAGGGAAGGTACGAAAATCGAAAAGGACAAGGGCTGTATGTAATTTCTTAAAATATACCCGAGCGATAGGACTTTTATCGAATAAATGGACGGTTTATGGGTTATACGCACGAAATATTATATACTTATAGGTGTAGGTAGGTATTATATTTAGGGATAGGCAGTTTAAGAAATGAAAGAATTGTTCGATAAGTCAAGTAGAGTTAGGTATTTTTTGAATAAAGAACGAAGGACCGGGATTTCTTGATTTAATTTAAAATAAAAACGACTCCTTCGAGAAAGAAATCCTCTAAGTAAATTTAACTTCTGCGTTACTTAATAATGAAATAATTTTTTTCCTGACTTATTCTTGAGAAAAGGAGAATCGATGAAATTTGGCGGTGATTTGGAAATCAAACAAATCGAATGTATTTTATGTTCCCTGTTTTCCAGAAAATAAACTCTGCAGCCCCGTTCTAGACAGGATTTCGATTCATTACCGCTCGACGAACGGAACGGGGAACCGGGAATGAGAACGGGAAAAGGAAGGAGTATACCTATATATTCCCGATAATAGTTTTTCGGTAATTGATTCTTAACACGAAGTGCATGTACGAGAGAAATTGATTGCTGGCGAAAAGAGTATAATATAATTAATGTTTTGCGGAAAATTTAATGGACAGTTGAATTTGTACATTTTTTGTTATTTATTCGGGACACAGATAGGACTAGCCCAAAAAAGTGTCCACCAGATTATACAATAATATAGTACAAAGTTATACAATAATCATATCATTTACAATAATGTCTACGTAAAAATAAAAACTATCAACAAAAGAGATTACATATCCTGGTTTAAAAAATATTTTAACAGTATTTTCTTTACGAAAATAAAACTATGAAAGAAAATATCTAGCAGTTACATATATTATTAACATAAAGGTTAAAGAGTAACGGCCAAAATGAAATCCTTGTGGTACTGAGGATAACAAAGTAAATGATTTTATATATAAGTATTCTAATCTTTACTATATTGTATAAATGTAATGTTTGATTTTTAACTTCACGATTATGTATTTATGTATTTCGGTAGCTCGATTATGATCCAAGAATTTTACTAAAATTTGGCACTCTTTTTTTTTTATTTATCGTTTAACTACAAAGGTTATTAACGGTATGCTATATACAATACAGTAAATTTATAAAGGAAACATATCAAATTTGGTTATACAAAGACGTTAATTTTAGGAATTCAATAACTCTGTTCGTGTGTGTTGTCATAATGTTTTTATAGCTTCCAGAGATACTAGTAGTGTTTCTTTCTTGGGAGTACTTTGGGCACTCGACGAGCACATGTTTTACTGACACTTAAACCGCACAGGTATTGATGCGTCATTTTTATATGTCCGATTCTATTTATTTTGGTTTGGTCTTTTCGAGATTTTGGTAATTCTAATTTTTTTTGTTTTTGTTTTATTTCATGCAGTTTTGAACTATGCTGGATCTACTTAATTTCCCACTCTTTGTTAATGGCATTCCCCAAGAAATACACAATTTCTCAACGTATTCTCAGCTTTTTTAAGGTTTCAAGAGAAACATTTTCCACAATTCTTTTAATTTTTCTTCTATATTTTTTATTATTCTTGCCGTTTTACTTGTACCACGACCAGATTTAATTGCATTTTAGATAATTAAGCCATAATTTTGAAACTTTTTTGCAATGTTTTTGACAGTAATCAATTTAGTAACCATGCCCATGACAAAATTTCCTCAAATGAACTGTATTTATTTGTTTAAAAATAAATAAAGGGATACTTGTTCATGATAAAAGTAATTATATATAGTTGTTTAATATTGCTGTTCGATAAGAAATAGATTTAACAAACCCACCTTTCATTTCAATATATAAAACTAGAATTTTCCTTAACAAAAACATTCGAATTTCCTATTTTTCAATGCACAATGAAAGGTCACTTCAAGGGCAGATTACGCTCGTTTTTTCTCCTTTATTTCTTTCATCTTAAGACTCCACCAAACCTTCTGTATAGCCGGGTGATGGTTGATAAACAGCTTTCCTCTACTTTCCAGACTTTCTCTGGATTTTCTCACACTCGCCCGAATATCCGCTGGAACGTGTTCATTTCCTTTTTTTACTTGTGGAAATCGCGAACCTCCATGAAAATGTTATTTTCGATGTTAAACAGTGAAGAAATTGCCGAAGGGGCATTCGATTGATTTTTGTTTTTATCAATTTTGCCGATGGTAAATAACGGAGTTAAAGAGTGAGAGAAAATGCCCTTTTAAAAGGTCAGAACGGTAAAATATAAACATTTCCAAATACAGATTCGAAAGCGACTATAAAAAAATGATTTTTTTAGCGTTTAGAGATAAGGAGGCGAATCAGCCTTGGTCAAATTTCAAATTTCCGTCCCTATTTTGATGGAGTTCCAAAAAACTAATGTAGTTGGCGGGTGGCAAAATAAATCTATTTTCTATGCAAGTCAATGGGAATTAAAGTGATTTTTCTCCAATGGTGTGCGGTTTTCAAGATTTTGCGATAAGTAATGAGATATTGTAAGATGCCCGCAAGCCATCATCGTTGCTTTCAGACGTTGAAGAGAACACTGTGCACGGTGGGTTTCTTTTCATATTTTTCCTGTAATGTTTGGAAATATTTCAAATCTTTACCTATTTTATCAGATTGATACCTGCTTAGATGATCTTTCAGCTTTGATGGTTTCATAAAGTCATTGCTCAAAACTTTGTTGCATAAAAAGCATGTGGACAATCGTTTGTCTGCCTTTGATGAAAGAAAGCCAAATTTTAAATATTCAACACTGTACTGACGACACTTCTTCTTAAATTCGGCCATGTTTTGTATCAATTACCTACCTGTAAATGTGTAAGCAAATAAATAAAAAAAAAAACTTTGTTTTAGTAATCTTAAGGTGATTCGAACTTAACAGGATATGACTATTTTAACATAATATGTTTAATCAATTATTATAAATATTATGAAATAAACAAAGTTCCGGCTGCAAACTGTTTCTAATTATTAAAAGCAATAAATCGCTAAGATCCATAATAGAGTTTTATGAAAACGGCTGAACTTATTTTAATGTGATATACAATTATTATTTCATTTATTATATTTTAATATATTTCTGTAAATTCTATAGAAACTTTTAAACAATATTTTGATATCAAAACTCCGCAATAATTGAATGAATTAGACAGGTAATAAAAATAAAGTAGGGACGATAAGTTCAATCTTTCTCGGCTTAAAACAATATGCATATATGAGAGAGAGTATTAAAATAATAAAGCGTTCGTAATCCATAGGCGTACCACTTCTTTTAGTAGACAGTTAAAATATTTTTTGAAGTCATTCCTCGAGTATACACTTATATTTTCACCTAATTAACCTGCTTATAACTTCTAAACAGCTGAAGGTAAAAAAGTGCAATTTTTTCTAAAATGTTTTATTTTTCCACAAGGTATGTTAAGAACATTGTGTCAAACGGGTTATGTAGGTATAAGGGTTTAAACTTTGAATTTTAAACAACGGTACGTTCATAAATAATAATTTTAATTAAAAACTACTTCTTACCTACAAATCCAAATCAGAATCGAAATCAGAAGATGAACTGTCGCAACCAATATTTACAATGAGTGGCTCGATTATTTCTTCAGTAATATTGTCCAACTTCCACATTTTCTCTTCTTCTTTAATCGTATGATTTACTGCCTTTTCCCAGTTTTCAGGCTTCACATTATTTACAGCCTCCAAAAACAACTGTTTAACATCACTCATTTTAAAAGAATTATTTTTTCTTGAAACTTCTCCCTTTATCTGTGCCCATATCAGTTCAATCGGGTTTACTTCGCAATGATATGGTGGTGATCTAACCATCGTCATCCCACGATTTTTTGCAATTTCATCAATTTCATATTTTTTGAATTTCTCTTTATGAAGGGAACACAAATGATACAGTTATTTTCTCACAGAACTTAATATTCTTTGAATTTAGCCAATTCTGTAAATCTTTTTTTAACCACTTGGTTGTGGGCATTTTTTCTAAAAGTCTCGAGTGATAACTTGCATTATCCATTACTATTATACAGTTCTGAGGAAGAAGATCTATAATTTGTTCGAACCACTCTTTATAGACATCAGCATTCATGTCCTCATGGTAGTCACCGGTACGAGTAGATTCAAAAGTCAATAAACCACCTTTAACAAAACCGTTTGAACTACCGATGTGTACTATTATTAGTCTGCGCCCCTTTCCTGATGGTGGATTTAAACCAGTAGATAAATTATTTAAAAAAGCCTGTCTTTAACTTGTAACAGTTTCATCTTGCCAAAATTTATTTGGTTTATGTCCCTCGTTGATCCATGTTTCATCTCAATAAAATATATTTCTTCTTTGGTTTCTCATTTCTTTTATAGTCCTTAGGTAATTTCTTCTCCATACTACAATATCGCTTCTTTCTATTAAAATAGACTTTCTGGAATGCTTTTTCCATAGAAAACCTATTTCTTTTAAAAGTTTTCATAGTGTGCTTCGACTCATTTCAAGGTAATCCTTATCATCTCGAACCGTGGCAAGAACTTTGTCTACTGTCGGAAATTCTTTTCTAAAGAAGAACGCATGCACTTTCCTTCGAAGTCTTTCTTTCAAAAGATTTTCTAATTGAAATTTTGGTTTTCCTGGAGCCTTACGTGCTGTTTGAAACTCGCCACATTTCTCTTCTTTAACAACTCTGTAAATCGTATAT